GGTTCATAAGGACAGATGGCAAACTTATACATCATATCAAGATAAAATAATAGGTAGCAAATCAAGTTTGAGGTATGGAAAATCAAGAAAATAATAAAAGCTTGGAGTTCTACAAAAATAATATTATCTAAAATATTAATTAACACTAAGTTAAGCTACAACAATTATTTTCTTCAAGAACATGAAGGCACGTTATTTAAGTCTCATAGAAATGGTCGTGCAGAGCATTTACAATTTTAAGTTGCAACTTTGTATCGTTAATTAATGAACATTATAAATAAGAACATCAAATGTGTTTTCTTTCACTCACATTTAAGAAAACGAAAAAAAAAAAAGATAATTCATTTGCAAAATGTCGAAAACAATAGCACTAATTTTTGTATTATTTTTAGGACTATTCTCTGGCAATTGTTATGGGCAACTTAGAGTTGGATTTTATAAAGGAATAAAATGTGGGCAAAAAGATGTTGAAGGTGTTGTACGAGAGGTTGTAAAATCATGGCATTTTACAAAGGATAAAACTATTGCTGCTGCTCTTCTTCGTATGCAGTTCCATGATTGCTTTGTTAATGTAAGAATACTATCTTTACATTTTCTTCTTCTTCTTCTTCACCTTTTTTATGCGTACTTACGTAAGAGAGCAAAGTCGGACCCAGAATTTTACGTGGCATGAGCACGGTATTCTGTTCAATCAGTGCCCGCTAAAGGCTTTTAGTGTTCTCGGTGCTAAGTGTTTTAAATTAATTATTTTCAAGGTATATACATATACAAAATTTTTGCCGAAGCTCACGTCGTCCAATAATCCCTCACTATAACATATAGATCCGCCTTTGTAAGAGAGGCGGATATAGAATTTTTAGTGAGGAATATGAAGTACAACTATAGTACGCCATTTGTTTGATTTCATGTGAATGTTTTTAACTATGCACGAAGTTTCAGAAATAACGAAATATTTTTTGAAACTTATAGTCTTAAACATGTCATGACATTTTTTTTAGCTGTAAAATCATATTGATAAGGGGCCCAATGGAGAGTTTAATGTTAATTATTTTAAATTTAAAGTATATTATTCTTCTTGAAACAGACTAAAAAGAAAAGAGTAACACATAAGACGAGACATAATGAGTATTTCTTTGTGATGACAATGTGCTTTGAAATAATATAAAGATTGTTGCAACTATATATATGTAGCTATGCTAACAAAAAAGGAATTTTTTTTTCCTTCAACAATAATAACAACAATAATAATCTCAGTGCAATCCCACAAGTGGAGTTGGGGACGGTAGTATGTATGTACACCTTATCGCTACCTTCTAAAGGTAGAGAGCCTATTTCCGAGAGACTCTCGGCTCAGAAAAAGCATGATCACAATATAATTGAAAAGAAATACATCAATGAAGAAGCCATGTAACAAGAAGCAGTAACAACAACATGATAATAAGAGAACCGATAGTGATAGAGATCTACGTAATCTTTTTTCTCTTCGGTAAATTAATATTTGTGGTACATTCTTCTATTATTACTTTTTAATGAGCTAATGTTATGTACATGATATGAATATAGGGTTGTGATGCATCAATTTTATTGGATGGAAACAACAGTGAGAAAAAAGCAGGAGCAAATAAAAGTGTTAGAGGATATGAACTCATTGATGCTATAAAACAAGCTTTAGAGACAGAATGCCAAGGTGCAGAGGTCTCTTGTGCTGACATTATTTCTTTGGCAACTAGAGATGCTGTACTCTTGGTAAATTACATATTTCATCACTTTTAATCATCTCTTCTTCATTATCACTTCCATTACTTGAGATTTTCTATTTTCGTGGAGCGTCCAGTCGAATCAGTTTATCATTTATATATAATTGACTTGTCCGGTTGTTGCTCCTTAACTTAGGTATTAGCAGTCGTTTTCAGCTGTTGTTTCTGATGCTATTACAAGTGTTTAAGATAATTAATGAGTTGAAAGATTAATGTTTTAATATTTCTGTGCAATAATAGTGTAACTGTTTATAAAAACAGATATAATATGTAACTTGAAAAATAAAATAACTAAATTGGAATTTTTTTTTCTTGTGACATGCACCCCTTCCCTGTGGTATTAGGGTTAGTCTGGTAGTTTTCTTATTCTTAGATTGCTAGTTTTACATGTTGTTTTCTTACCTTCCGCGTCGATTTCTTAGTATCTTGATGTGGTCGATGCTTGTTGCTACTGCTTCCTTCCGTCTATTTTCTGGCTCTTAGTTTGTGATCATTATCTTTTTAGCCCTTGTTATTGACATTGCTTGTATCTACTGTTTCTTTCCATCTTTCTTGAGTCGAGGGTTTACAGGAAACAACCTCTGTACCTTTCCAAGTAGGGGTAAGGTCTGCGTACACACTACCCTCCCTCGACTTTACTTGTGGATTTCACATTCACTGGGTCTTCTGTTGTTGTTGTTGTTGTTGTTGTTGCGACATGCACATCCTAATACTAGTTTTGATTATAAAAATGTAACAAAATGGTTCTTGAGCCGAGGGTTTATAGGAAACAGCCTCTGTACCTTTCCAAGTAGGGGTAAGGTCTGCGTATATACGACCCTCCCTCGACCTTACTTGTGGGATTTCACTGGATCTTCTGTTGTTGTTGTTGTTGCTGCTGCGACATGCACATCTTAATACCAGTTTTGATTATAAAAATGTAACAGAGTGGAGGAAAATGGTACAATGTAGAAACAGGACGAAGAGATGGGAGTGATTCCCTTGCATCAAATGTCAATCTTCCTAGTCCATCCATTTCAGTCTCTGATTCCATCAAAGTTTTTGCTAGCAAAGGGCTTAATGCAACAGATATGGTTTACCTTCTAGGTAATTTCCATTTTTTTTTTTATTTTTTTTTATATATATATATAGCCAGAAGTGGAACCAAAATTTGAAGGTCGCGGGTGCACTTTTGGATTCAACCAAAATCTGTTTCGTATATAGGTATATATATAGCCAGAGGTGGAACCAAAATTTGAAGGTCACGGGTGCACTTTTGGATTCAACCAAAATCTGTTTCGTATATAGGGTGTTACCGCTAATATATCACTATTTTCTAAAAATATATACATGTATACATGGAATTTTTGCCGAAATTTACGGGTGTCGTTGACTCTCTTGGTATAGCATAGTTCCGCCTCTGTATATAACAATAATATCTAGATCAGTTTGTCATATCTCCACTATTTCACCACATACTTGTAACCTTCCATCAACGTGGGTATCAGTGACTCTATCCACCTGGTCTTAGACAGATGAAAAAAAATTACCTAACATTACATCTTACTTTATTGGTCGTTAGTTCCACACCCTTTTGAACGTTCTTTATTTTTCCAATCCTTCATTTTATTCCGTGTTTCTTATAACATGCATCCAAGTCAGTTTGCCTACACCTCAACTATTTCATCAGATACGCTACTTACCATCTAATGCGATACGCATAGCTAGATGAGAAGAAATCACTTAATATTTTTTTGCTCATTTTATTGACCGATAGGGCACGCCCTTGAATGCTATGAAACATTCTCTATTTCAAGAATTAATAATTAATGTATGGTTTTTAATCCCAGGTGGACACACTGTTGGAACTGCTCATTGCTCAAACTTCCAAGATAGACTATACAACTACAAGAAAACAGGTGGTCCTGATCCAGCCATGAACAAATTGATGTTATCCTCATTAAGAATGAAGTGTCCTAAAAGTTCAAATTTTGATAATTCTGTTCCTCTTGATATGGGAACTCCATCAGTTGTTGATAACTCATTTTATCAACAAATTAAATTGGGAAATGGGGTTCTTGAAATTGATCAACAAATTGCATTAGATCCATTGACAAATAAAACTGTGGATGATATAGTCAAAGGGCCTGATTTTTACACTAAGTTTGGAGAGGCTATGGTGAAATTGGGTAAAGTTGAAGTACTCACTGGAACACAAGGAGAAGTTAGAAAATCATGTAGGGCTGTGAACAACAACAACAACAACAACAAGCCATTCATTTTATTTTAGGGATTAATTAGCAGAATTATTTTTTGGAAGGGGAACGGAAATGATACGCTACTGATGGGGTCTGAACTCTCCGCCTCAACTGCGAGATACATGGATCTAATGATGATTAATTGTGTGTTGTTTTGTGTATTTTATTTTTTTGAGGGGGTGGGTCAAGAGGAGACTCTTCCTTTAATGATTCTTTGGCATTTGAAATTTGAGTATTGTTGTAATGTTTTTTTCTTATTTTATGAATTCTTTTTGTTTTTATGTATTGAGTTGTTTCTCCTGTTCAAACCTGTTGAGAATTGTTTTCTTGAGCCGAGGGTGTTTAAAAACCAGCCTCTCTATTTCCACAAGGTAGGGAGAAGGTCTGCATATACTTTATCCTTCCCAAACCCTACAATATGAGATTACACTGATTATGATTATGTTGTTGTTGTTGTATTGAGTTGTAATATGATTCTTACTGAAACTATTTGTTGACAGGTCAAGTAGTGGGGTTTCTAGGTCTAGTTTTGATGTCATGCCATTTTTCTTCTCTTGTTTTATTTCTTTTCTTTTCTTTTGGTTGGACACAAGGAAAAATAAAAAAAGAGTGGCTATTTGGGCATTGATTATAACAAAGTTGGTCAGTAGTTATAAGCTCTTTGGTTTTAGACAGCAGACTAAAAGTTGCATACTGATAGGAAACTTGTAAGGACGAAAAAGGGCAGCCCGGTGTACTAAGCTCCCGCTATGCGCGGGGTCCAGGGAAGGGCCGGACTATAAAGGTCTATCGTACGTAGCCTTACCTTGCATTTCTGCAAGAGGCTGTTTCCACGACTCGAACCCGTGACCTCCTGGTCACATGGAGGCAACTTTACCAATGATAAGGACAGATTACCAACAAACAAAGAAAGAATGAAAACATTACATATGAATCTTTTTTGCACATGAGTACTGAATTCAGAGGTGAAGTTTTATTTAGAAATTCGACGAGCAACAATGAGATCCTAGGATGAGAGACCAGCCTTGATCTTCTGAATGGTAGCAACGTCAGTCTTGAATGACTTAGCGAGAATCTGATCATCGACACCAGTAGCAAACAATGTTGTAGCATAGGCACTACTAAATGCAGAAACAGCTATGGCTGATTTATTCCAATCACAATTGGATTGATAATGTACTAGTCCTTTTGGAAACACAAACAAGTCCCTGAATTGTAATGTCCGAGTGTAGAGCTTGTTAGTACTGTCCACCAAACCAAACTGGAGACTTCCTTGCACCATGAATAAGAGCACGGCTGCACGAGGGTGGGTGTTGGGCGGGTTCACACCCCCGCCAGGGAACTGAAGGACAGCAAGTGAAGTGCTCTGGCCATCTAAAGCAGGAAATTCTGCCTTGCTCGCCTTTGTCACTTTGAAGTTTGTGATAATGCTGCCAAATATTCCGCACATGCCAGTGAAGGTGAAGAAATTTCCATCTAGTGTGTCTCCAGTCCGATTTTCAGGAACAATGAAGTCGGTCAAGATATATGGATCGCCTGCTTAAGCCATCCAAGAACTAGTAAGAATAGCAACAACAAAGACAAGAACAATTTTTTGTGAAGCACGAGGCCATTTTCGCTCTTCTGAGGAGGAAGGGTATGGGATGAAGCTAGTTGGACTTGGAAAAGTTTTGAGAAATCTACACTGTATAGCCGCCGGAAAATGTAATTTTTTGTATATTAATATATAACATACATATTTTATACATAATTAGCGTATATTTTTTTATATATATTTGACCAGCGGTTTGTAATTATTTTCGGCCAACCGGCCAAATTTGTCAAATGCCCAAATGTTTTAAGAGTATGATGGTTAACTTGATTCAATCAAATATTTATACGAGCCGAGAGTCTATCTTTGTGGAAAGAAAACCAAAATTTGCTGGAAGATCCAGGTGGTCATTGACATTACCTAAGCTTGATCCTTATTTATTCTCTTTGCTACATATGGCAACATGAGTTAACTTGCTGAAGCAGCAACAATATTACATTTATTTGTGCGAAGAAATGAACCTTGGGCCTAACTCGTCAAATCTATAACTACAGATGTCAAACCATACCTTTGGTTAAGCCTGACCGTTGGAGGCATTGGAGAAGCCAGCAAAAACATTTGAATAGGATCTGGTGAGGTATGCAAAATTGGAAACTGGTGGTAGAGCCGGAATCCTTTCCCCTTTTCTCAAAAGCTCTTGCAAATTTAGCCTCTGTAAGGTCAACACAGCCCGCGATTCCTTCCATATAAAAGCAAGCAATTTATCTTGGATTACAAAGAGCGAACCAGGTTTTGAACCAGGATATCTGAAACCATACCCGTTAGCAATACCTTCACCCATAAAAGCATGCTTAACATCTAGAGGGTTGCATTCCGCATCAGTGCTCCAAGGGAACGGATCATTTGAAGGCTCGTCGATATTCACTATAAACATAGCTGAGCCATTGGGATGCAAAACATAATGCGTACCTTCTAATATCTTGGTCGCGATAAGTAACTTCTGCCCTTGGGACTCCTCATATGACAGTAAAAGAAGAAACAATGCCTTTCCGGGCTTGTCATCAGAAGGCCTCCCAGGAGGCCAACCAAAAGTTCCTCCCCATAGACCAGCATATTCTTTGCCCGCTTCCGACGCTCGCATAGGCAACTTATAGAGAGCAAATCTACTTTCGTGCATATTTGGCCAAGCACGATAAGAGGATAACTTCACAGTTGAAGCATGTAATGTTAGCCCTATTGCATCACCTGGTTGCAGGAACTCGTGAAGCTGGGCATGCTTACTGCCGTGGCCAGAGGAATTCTTTTTAAGAAGGTCAAGCTTGCCATTGATTGAGTCTGACTTCTTGAGTATATGTTTCAGACTGTGTCTAACATATTCAGCAATCGTCTTCCTCCTGGTGCACCGACTCCGACTCTCATCAGCAGTTTGTGATGCAGGACCGCTACTTATCAGATCAAGATTCTGTCTGAACTCACTCAATCCAATATGAGTAGGATGGAAAGGCAACTCGGAACCAGCCTTCCAGATGGTTAAACCACCACCATCGTACATTTGCATAAGTAGCGATCTTCTTTCATACAAGAGTTCCATATCCTCTCGTAAATCAGCCTCCTCTGCTCTCAGACGAGGAAATAATATGAAATCGTTAGCATCCGGCAGCATTTGACGAACTTGGTTAGTAACTGTATCAAGCAACTTTCTCCTATCAACAAATGCAAGCCGGCCAAAGGGCACTACTGTTGCATGCTGACCCGTTACCCTTTCTGACCTAGAAACCCCACTACTTGACCTGTATATCTTCCGTGAAACCTCATTTTCCGAAGGATGAATAAAGCTCTTGCTGTGGAACAACTTACCCCCGCCACTCTGTTGCCGAGGCTCAACCTCTAACAGAAGCGCATTGCAAGTCTTGTCGACCTTCTTGAGTGAACCAGGATAAACATAATCAGTTCCTTTCTCCCTACCGTGGAGGAAAAACGCAGCGGAGCCCTCAAAATCAGAAACAACTTCAAATACAGGTGACCACAAAATCGGCCCTTCTTCAAGGCCTAAAGGACCAAGTTCTTGGGGAATGATTCGACAACCAACCACCGATATGAAACCAGGCATAACATAAACAACATTGCCGAGTTCAGGATTTTGATGAACCCAAATACCAAGCAAAGGCTTTATCCCTACAAGAAAGCGACACATTGCCTTGTAGGAACGGAGTCCCTTTCGCCATTCAACAAGGTCTCTATGAGGAACCACCCCAAGCATATTGCATTGTGAAAACCAAACCTTATCGGAGGCAGCTAAATCATGCAGGTTTCTACAGCATAAACCAAGATTACATACATCCCTTGGTGTAAGTGATCTACTTACTATCGCAAACACGTCATCAGGCAGTGCTAAAAGCAAGCTAGACCCACAAACATCAGGCGACATAGTACCACTTCCTTACCTCCCTCAATAGGGAATTCAAGATTTTGCTATAACTTCCAAATTCATAACACAGAATTCCTTTTTTTTACACACACAAGAATGCTAAAAAACTAAAGAATGATCAAAACTGCCAGCAGCCCATCAAAAAGTCATTACTTAAGAAGGGTAATAATCAGTCATACCTCTAAAAAATCACTACTTTCTCAATTGGGTTTCAAGACGTTGCTACAAACTTCACCAAAGAACCCTGCTTTCTCAATTGGGATTCGAGATTTTGCTACAAACATCACAAAATAACCAAACTTTCTTAATTGGGTTCCAAGATTTTGCTACAAACTTCACAAAAGAACCAAACTTTCTAAACTGGGATTCAAGATTTTGCTACAAAAATCACCAAAGAACCCTACTTTCTTAATTGGAATTCAAGATTTTGCTAGAAACTTCACAAAAGAACCAAACTTTCTCAATTGGGGTTCAAGATTTTACTACGAAATTCACCAAAGAACCAAACTTTCTTAATTGGGTTTCAAGATTTTGCTCCAAACTTCACATAAGAACCAAACTTTCTTAATTGGGACTCAAGATTTTGCTACAAAATTCATCAGAGAAGCAGACTTTCTCAATTGAGCTTCAAAATTTTGCTACAAACTTCACCAATTTGTCAACCATAAGGACTGCAATTCACTAAAAACAATAGAAACCCCTAAAAAGCAAATCAAGATCTAAAGACCCAATTGACTTTAGTAGTCATTGATCTTATTGAGCTTTGTGAGATCACACAAATTTTGACAAGTCGTCCATTAATCAGTCATCACCAACCAAAACATGAATGAGGAACTGGTTGTTTTTTTCCCTCAAAGCCAATGATGATGATGAAGAAATGTGAGGCTTTCTTCTTGAAAAGGACAAAACAAGCTTTGGAATTGTCTTTTAAAGGGGGGGGGGGGGGGGATAGGGTCCCACTTTTCCACAAGGATTACAATGACAGCCACAGCCAGCTTACTAATATTGAATTATGAACTGAAATTTGGAATCATTAAATCAAGGGAGAATAGCCTAAATGACACTTATACTTGTGCCATTTTGTCATCCCGGTCCCCAAACTTAGCATTTTGCCAATTGGACACTTATACTCGATCAAACCGTGTATAATAAACGCTTATGACAGGAGGCTGTCAGTGTATGTAATACAATCTCCTACACTTAGGATGTCACGTCATTACTAGTGCCACATAGGAAAATAAACTATTGACTTTATCTTCATTTTTTTCCCTACCCCACCATCTCTTCTCCTTACCGCCAACAACTCTAATACTGCCATCGCCGGAAAATTTCTCCAGCCACCGGAGAATACCATTAACTTCTGGAGATCACTAAAAGATAAATAAATAAAAAAGTGTTCTTACACAAAGAATTTCACCCCACCGAGGTCTTTTCCCTTCCCAATTTTTTTCTCTTTTTCACCCCCCCTCTCCCCCCAATCAACCTATCTCTTCTTCCGCCTCTCCAATTTTCTTTTCTGTCGATCCCTTTCTCCTCTCCCTTGTCTCTTCCGTTAGCCTAAAAAACAAGAATATATGCAGCAATAGAGAGATTTTTTTTTGTCAAAAATAAAGTTTCAGATATGGGGTTTTAAAACATGATGGATTTTCTGGTGGCTTGATTTAGGAGATGAGATTTTGATTTTTTACTGATTTGAAGGTTCTTGTTTACTGATTTAAAGGTCTACTATACAGAGGATTGGGTTTTTAACATTATTTTCGGAAAGGAAGAAAGAGAGTAAAATGGAGGAGGGGTCGCTATGGATTTTCCGGTCGTTTTTCAGGGATCGTTCTCGCCTATAATTTTTTTTTCTTTTTCTTTTTTAGGGTCAAGATCTAAAGGTATCATGCAGAGAATTTTAGAAATGGGAGATGTGTTTTGGGGAGGGTGTAGGTTGGGGAGGGGGAGGGGGCGAGAAAGAGAAAAAGAAATAGAAATGGAGGAGTTTTGAGGAAGACGGGAAGGGGGTTAGTTTACTTTTTTAAAATTTTACTTTTTTTTTTCATTTTATTATTTTTTTCTTCTTAGTTCAATCATTTCTTAGGCCAATTTTTTATGTTAACGCTCGTTGTACGCGTGAATTACACGCTTGTTGTTCAACCCAGCCATAATGTTGTCACATATGATCGGTCAACGGTCAGAGGAGTTTAAAATATAAGTTTTGAGCGATATAAGTGTCCAATTGGCAAAATGCTAAGTTTGAGGACCGGAATGACAATGTGACACAAGTATAAGTACCATTTTGGCTATTCTGCCTTAAATCAACAAGTCAAAGCAACTGAGGTCACAAAGATTGTCCAAAATATAAAGGCATAATTAATAACGAGGAATAAACCTAAATAGTCCTTTAAGTATGGGCTTAGAAGTATTTTGGTCCTTTTTATATATTACTAAACATAAAACGTCCTGTATGTTTACAAAAGTAGACACCTTTGGTTCAAGTTTAAACATAATCTTTAAAACTGATGGAAAGTGGCAGAACTCGGGTAAAAATAACGGAAGTATCTAACTCGGTTTCACAGAATCTGTTAATGAGACACGTCACTCACCTCATCTTCCAAAATCCTTAAAGAACTAACCGAAGAACCCGTGACTCCCTTTCTCCCAAATTCATTCATATAAAGCAAAACCGGTGATGTAACAGTAGAAGCAACAACCATATTCAGCGACAAGCAATGTAGATTCCATCAATGAGTCGTGGAAGATCTAATACTCAAAAAATGAAGTTCGATCGAATGAAAATTGTGCTTCGAGACTAAGGCCTCATTTGTTTACACTTAATGGAGGTCTGAAATTATTCAGATCTCAGGCATTAAGTGCGTTTGTTTTAAAAGTCTGAATATTAATTATTCAAATCTTAATCATTAAGTGTGTTTTTTTTTTTACTTCACAACCACTTAATGGGTCTGAATAGGTCTGTAAGATTAAGATCCATAACAGAGACTTAATTTCATTAAGATGTTATCACATATTCATTATTAACTGCCGCCACCGCCTACCATTATCAACTACCACCATGCAACCACCACCACCACCACTATGCCACCATTACTATGCCACCATCATCCTCAATCATAGCCGCCACCATTATCGATCATCACTAACCAGTATCCTTACCACTCCAACCACCATCATTCTCACCCACAATCAACACTCATGCACCTCAACTACCACAACTACCACCCCATCACCATCAACAACCACAGCCGGCACTGCCCATCATTATAACCTACCACCACCCATCCACCACCTTCCTTAGTCACAACTACTATCACCATCCGCCATTATTAACTATCACCACCCACCACCACCATCCTCAATCATAATCGCCACCACTAACAATCACTACTAGCTACTAGTATGAACCACCATCATCAACCAAAACTACCACCAACCACCGCCTCTAGTCGCCATTCACCCGTTAGCAATCACCACCAACAACTATCATATTTTAAAAAACTATATATTTTATTGATAGAATATTAGATTGGTTAATATTTCATTTGAATTTTATGTTTATTAATTTTCAAATAAAGATAATTTATACATTCAGATGTTAAAAATCAAACAGACTTAATTATTTAGTATTCAGATCTTAATACATATCTTAATATATTCAGATGTGCATTCAGATTTAGATATCTTAATCTTAATACACATCTTGATATTCAGACATGTATTCAGATTTCAGACGTCTTAATCTTTAAAAAAAACAAATGAGTCCGTTCAAGTTAGGGGTGTCAAATGTGCGGGTTGGGTCAATTTTGGGCGGGTCAAAATGGATTGAGTCAATAATTGGGCGGGTCAAATGACCCGCCCAAAAGTTACTTGGGCTAAGATGGGTTGGGTCAAGATGGGTTAAAATTCGGGTCATAACCCAACCCGCCCAACTCTTATTAAACTTTAATTAATATGTGTTATTTCCTTATAAATTGTATAATTACTAAATAAGGCTTTTTTGCTTTTGTTATGGTCATATTTAAAATATTAAATAAAAAATAAAATTATTTCTATGATATTTTGACAAACTTACTCATGGATCAATTTGGGCTAAAAATTTGCCCAACTTTAAATGGGTTGAGATGAGTTGGGTCAATATGGGTTAAATTTAATAAATGAGCGGGTCAATAACCAACCCAACCTTGGGCGGGTTGGGCGGGTCATTTGGGCTTGGGCCAAATTTGACAGCCCTAGTTCAAGTATTGAAATCCTATAATGTGTTAGATTAGGCTGAATGCAGCGTGCATAGACGAAGATGGCACTATATTGAATATACAAAAATGCAAATATGGATATCTAGCACTAGCTATCCATACAATTCTTAAGCAGCGTGCATATCTATACAATTCTTAAGCAGCTTCAGAGCAACTGGAGCAGTTCATGAGGCAATCTTAAAACAGCATCAGTTTCACAATCTATAATTCCCAAATTGTAGTTGAAGAGATCTCTGTCTTTTTGACGTTACTGTCACTGTCATCGTTAAGTTTGTGCCATTCCCCGTTAGTTTTATAGCTTCTGTTTAATCTTAAACCAAAGGCGTCCACTTTTGCAAACATAAAGGATATTTTATGTTTAGTGGAATATAATAAGCACCAAAATACTTCTAAGCCCAAACTTAAAGGACGATTAAAGTTTTTTTCTCAATTAATAACTAAAAACCCTTTAAACTAGACACTGTTTATTTGCACCTAAATTATTTGCGGTCCTAATTGCCTTTGGACTTGATTATTATGTTGACGTGACAAAGAATTTAGAAAAGGTCAAAAACGCCCTCTAACTATGCAAAATAAAATAAATTTATTCTTATTCTAAATTGGCGAAATACATAAACAAGAACTCAAATTTGGCTTTAGCTGACAAGTAAGCGCTCCAACTTTAAGAGTGCACATATAATCATTTCAACTTTACACGTGTGTATCTTGTTGACACTCACAATTGACCTGGCACCGTGCGTGTTTTGTCGTCAAATTTGAGCGTGTTAGATGTTATTCCAAAGTCTTTTCCAGCTGATAAAGTAAGTGACATTCAATTTTTACCTTATAATCTACCTCTATTTCATTCCTAATGCCTCTCTCCCATCCTTTTTCAGTTTTTTTTAAATCTTTTCTCTCGACACTCTTTTCTCTTCCCTTTAAAAATGTTCACCAATGAAACCTTAAACTCTTCATCACCATTAAACCCCTCTTCAACCATATAGAGGCAAAATTTCTTCACTCTCTAATAATTGCTTTGTTTTCTCCTGCTTAATGCACTACTACTGTATCTCCGTATATTTATTTATATTTATTATACCAAGATAGGAATAAAGAGAACATAATAAAATTATAACAAAACCAGAAATATAGATAACAAATTAAACATTCAGTCGAAATTCTTTAAAATCAAAACCACCAACGTCACCACCCTCTACTTGGGTCACTAACCCACGTAGGAGTGTACGTAACTCACGCATTAGACCTGCCGAAAATATGTGTTTACGAGTTCAACTTTATACAAGTTAATGTGTTTGTATGTACACTCATAAAATTGGACTGCTTACTTGCCAGATGAGGCCAAATTTAATTGCATGTTTATGTATTATATCTTTTAAATTTAGTTTCAAGTATGCTCTTATCATAGTAAAATGGTCTAAATTTGTCCCTCAACTATGAGATATATGGTCCCAGATATGCTCTTATTATGAGTGAACCGACTCATATTTTCCCCCTCAAAGTAATATATATATATATATATATATATATATATATATATATATATATATATATAAAACTCATTTATCTTTTTTCTTTCTTTTTTGGCTTCGCCTCCTCATTTCTTTATTTATCTTATTTTTAATAGCCCAAAATTAAGTCTTTAAATACAAAGTCAACT